TCGCAATGGTGCAGGTGCATGCATTGCTTGTCTTACCTCATATTATTAGCTTCTGAATTCCTTTTTTATTTCACTAATTTACATTTTCTAGAGTAATACCTTTGATGTCTGATCTTTTTTATTAACACCAATACTGTTACATGTACTTTTCTCTGGAATTGCCCCCAAATGCCCTGGTATGGCCGAGAGTGGGGTGGGCCCACCCTCTCTCTCGAAATGCTCCCACATGGCCACGCTTATACAGCCTCTGCCAGGGAAGTCCTGCTCACTGCCTTCTCGTGGCGGGGGTTGTTGTTTACGAAATTGAGAGGACGAAAAGCAAATTTCTGGCGCTTTAACCGGGTTGGTGGACATGGAGAGTACACCTAGGGGAGTTAGACAACCCTAATCCCAAACCAATAGTGCACATGGGCTTCAGTATTCTGAGGGAACAAATATCTATGTGTTGAAATAAATAAATAAATAAATAAAAAGAAACATACTCAACAATGACAGTTTATGAAGGCCTAATGCTTTATCGTATTGAGTGTTATTTCTATGTTCAAAACTATTGATAGTTTATTTGATTACAATAGTTTTCTCTTGAATTCCATATACTATGATGACTATTATTTGAAGAAACAGACAACTATTTAGTGTATTTAAATTATGGTGAAACGAATTTTGTTAATGGAGGTTAAAGGATCAATGGGGAATGTTAAGTTCATGAAATATAGTGATTCATAAATATTTACATCATGAAAACGTTGATTATTGAAAGAAATATTGAAAATTATGTACTAACTTTGTATATCGAACCATAGGAGCAGAAATCCGAACAAAAGGTATATCATCTTTTTTATAGCATGAAAATATATCCATAATCCTGGAGAAATAAACAAGAAAAAATAGGTGTATTGTATGCATTCATTGACCGAAGAATGAACAATTGTTTGAAATCATCATGATTAAATTATTCCAAAGTTGATCTAGCCTGTATAGAAGTAGTTAAAAATAGCTTTTCCAGGGCATTATTTAAAATCTGCGACCAACTACAAATATCCATCACATCATATTATTTCATGGTACACGACACCTGTTTCGATATGAAGTAGTATTACTTAAAGGCAATGGTTTTTAAGGGAGAATAGAACAAATTTGATTGATAATAACGTAACCTATTCACCAAGTATGGAGACCTATCTATACGGCTTTAAGTTGAAAATACTTTTATGGTATAATAGTATTGGAAGTAGTAAAATTTCATCTTTCAAAAGGCTAGATCAAAACGCATTCCCAACAATTCAGTGCTCCTTGATTTCTCAATGCTTTTCCAGACGATATCAATTCGTAATGACATTGAAAGGAGAACTATTACGCCAAAAATGAATATTTCCGAAAATATGAACTGCAAAAAATAGAGTATTGTCAATGAATTCTTTCATTTTTGCTACTCATTCGTTTTATACCTGTCAATGAATATTTGACTCTGGCTATAGCAAAAAATATTAGTTTGGAAAACTTATCATTGTAGGACATAAGATGAAAGTTGCTGAAAAGTGTTATGTTGTTCAAGTACTTTTTCAAGGACATAAACGTAATAAGAAAACATTCAAACACGATCGATACCAGTATAAAATAAAAAAGTACATTAGGCTTAAAAATATAAGTTTATTATCCACATGCATACAAGTTGTATGGATGTTTATTTTATTATTTTACTTGAAACATAAATATTGGTACAAGGGGCACCAAATAGATATGTGCCACACAATAACAATGAGGCCGGTATCAGTTATCATTGATTTGTGTGAAGGCTGTGATACTGCCCGAGTACCCGAACTGAAGCAGGTGGTTTTCTTAGGAACCACACCCGGAGCCTTTGACTTAAAGGTCTAACCCACAAGGCAGTGGAGCAACGATAGGACATATAGTCCCATGGTAGCCTGTGACCAACAATAGGTTCAAACGCCACTTATCCCTCAGGATCTTAGATCTCATGTGCACTATTGGTTTGGGATTAGGGTTGTCCAACTCCCCTAGGTGAACTCTGCGTGTCCACCAACCCAGTTAAAGCGCTGGAAATTCGCTTTTCGTGCTCTCACTTTCGCAAACAACGCACTCGCCGCATTGAGTAGGACTTCCTTGGCAGTGGCCATGTGAGAGCATTTCGAGAGAAAGAGCGGACTCTCCCCACTTTCGACCGCACCAGGGCACTTGGAGGCTGTAGAAACGTATAACATAAAAAAGCACAATAACGTTATGTATTTGATTAAGCATTTAATTATTGTACGGTATCAATGTAAGTTTTCAAACTATTTATTACAAAACAAAGAAAGAAAGAGAAAAATAAAAACAGGGAATTCAGTTTTATATTTTGTGGAGAAAACATTGCGAAGGAACTAAGTCTTTTTTCTTTCAAATAAAGAAACAACTAAAGTAACAAAATCAACGATAATAACGGTATGAAGGTCACTATTTCGTTTATTTTAAAAAAAGGAAGTATTTTTTTATTGACGTGCACTGTTAGTTGATGTTCCATTAAACAAATGTCGTATTCGAATTTCAAATTCTTCAACGGACAATTTAATATATTTATCACGATTTGTTGTGAATGCGATAGACATTGATTTTTCCCAGAAACCACGATATAAAGCGACTAGATCCCGTACTAATTGATGCTCTAAACTATTTTTCAATTCTCGATCAGGTATTGAAATAAGATGATGTTGTTTAGTTAAAGTATTCAGTCCATTATTAAAATCCTTAGAATACAAAGCAAGGAGAAAAAGAGATATGAGTTAATAATTGTAAATCTTAATTACAAATCAACTGTAAATAATGTAGTAGAGAAACTTATGTGAAACACAAAAATTACAGTAGTATATACGTTAATCAATTAACTGCTATTACGACATTCGTCCTGAAGCAAAATATTCATTGGAAAGCACTTTAGTAAATACATTTTTACTTTATACATATAAAGTTGAGAATGTACGGCGGCTTTCGGTATTCGATTATATCGACTCCTCAAAATGCAGAGAGTTAATATTATTTGTGAGCTAAATGAAGATCAGCATTGAAGTGGGGGCGTTTTATGTTATAACACTGACATACATATATTTGTCATGTTCCACTACTTATCAAGAGCAAGTTTATGGTCTAATTAAACAAAACCGAAAGTTGGTCAGTTTATGATGCATAGATGAAGTGGACTTTACATATCATGTAAGTCTCATTAACACCGGTTAGTTGGTGTCTGACGAAAAATTGGCACCGATTCGGAGAGCTCAGTCGGTCTTCACCAATTTATGTCACTTATGGCGTAGGCGAGACATTCGTCTGCCAGTCAAATGAAGAGTTTACTGCGCAACAGCTCACTTAATGGCTGTGAAACGTGGCCTTCAAAAATAAATGGTATTCAAAGGCTATTAGTATTTGATCATAGGTGTCTTTGAAGCACTGCTTGTACATTTTGGGACCATACTACGCAAGAACGACAAACCGGTTGATGAGGTAGTGAAACTTTATCGACTAAGATTTTTGGGACATGTGTTACGTATGCCCGTCCACCGACTACCTAAACGCACAACGATGACTGGTGCATGAGTAGGCAGGAAGAAAGCTAAGGGAGGCCAAACCAATACGTAGCGTCAGTTCATGAAGACACTGACCATTGAACTGAGTCGTGTAGGCAGGTATAGACTACCACGTGATTATAGCAAACAATTGTTAGAGGCTTTGAATGACACTCCTTAGAATAGTTCGCAATGGTGCAGGTGCATGCATTGCTTGTCTTACCTCATATTATTAGCTTCTGAATTCCTTTTTTATTTCACTAATTTACATTTTCTAGAGTAATACCTTTGATGTCTGATCTTTTTTATTAACACCAATACTGTTACATGTACTTTTCTCTGGAATTGCCCCCAAATGCCCTGGTATGGCCGAGAGTGGGGTGGGCCCACCCTCTCTCTCGAAATGCTCCCACATGGCCACGCTTATACAGCCTCTGCCAGGGAAGTCCTGCTCACTGCCTTCTCGTGGCGGGGTTGTTTACGAAATTGAGAGGACGAAAAGCGAATTTCCGGCGCTTTAACCGGATTCCAAATCAATGGTGCACATGGGCTCCAGTATCCTGCAGGAACAAATGGTGTAAGAACCAATCATTGGTCACCGGCTACCATGGGACTGCATCTCCTTACGATGCTCCACTGCTTTGTGGGTCAGACCTTTAGGTCAAAGGCTCGGGGTGTGGCGCCCCTAAGAAAACCACCTGCTTCGGTCTGGGCACCCGGGAGTATCACAGCCCTCACACAAATCGAATGATTTATGTGGTGCATATCTACTTGGTGCCTCCCTGTACCAATGTTTATGTGTTTAAATAAATAAATAAATACTTTTCTGGAATTCGCCCTAACAATTTCATCTCTCTGTGTTAGTGGCGTAGGGTAACTTGAACTGATGTACATGTATGTGTGCCAGTTCTTACGTTATATATAACTGGCTAATTGAAGTCGAGTTTGGTAAGATTTTTATTCATCGGGACATTGTGAGTAAAACTGGGATTATCCCGTTTTACCAGTCAAGGTCATGTATTAATATTGGGATATGCCCCATCTTCGACGTCATTATTATGGATGCTGTTTTATCCAGAGCTTTGTTTTGTTTAATTTGTGACTTGTGTCTTAGTTGATCTAAATATGCTTATTTACACTAGATTTATACCATTCATGTTATTTAGTGTTAAACGGGTTAAATTCTTCTTGGTTATTAGTAGTATAATGTTAATGAGTTCTCATTATCAATAAAGTTAATTCATTGTTCCATAACCATAAATTACATGAAAAAGCAAACAATATGAATTAAAAATACGACAAAAATGGTACAGATACAGTCATTCGAGCATAACCTTGACTGATAGATAGGACAATAAATTTACTGAGAAACAGAAACAACAACAAAAAAACCCACTAATACAAAAGGTATCCAAAGTTTTAAAGTCAATCGATAAAACTCACATTCCAAAGAGATTTTAAAAAAGATCTCTCCTTTTGATCTATCTATTAAAGTAAAAGAGATAAATATAGAACAAACAAGTTACAGTTAAAAAACAATTTACTCGATAAAATGATAGATACATTCAAGTAGATGATCTACTGTTAAAATAATAAGAGAATGAATGATTTACACAAACAAACATACATGCATTATGAATGATTTATACAAATATAACGATGTTATATTAGTAAATTAACTCACAGAAGAACGATTAATTAAACCAGTAATACGATTTAAAATATTACCATCTGGTAATGAAAGCATGCGTGCACACCTACAAAGAATTAGGATCAATTTCATATATAGAAACAGAAAACGAAACAAATTCAAAGAATAAAAGAATTTTGAAAACAGTTAAAAAAAATTATCCACAATTTCCTAGATTATTCAACATAACATGAAAAGAAAAAAAAGATCATCTAGGTAAAATAATTTCGAGACAAAATAATTAAGGTTATAGTATAGTACTATGTTATTAACATGCCAGTATAAAGCACCAATTTATGTTTGCCGCAATAATGACCATTAGTAGGAATGCAAAGAGTTAAGATAAGAGTTATGATTACTATTAACTAGAAAATTGATAAATGAAAATAATCACACAATCATTAATATTCGATAATTCTTCATTATCAAATCATGATAAACAAGGCTATTGCATGCATAAACACAATATATGAAAATACGAGAGTTTTACAGACTAGTAAGAAGTCGACTCGAAATCGATGAGATAGTACTATATTTAGCACAAAAAAAGACACCTTGGTTAGATGTTCATCCACAGTATCTTGAGATTGCTCATTGTTAGTGATTGAATGTTTATGATGATTAGTGTTTAGATTTGGTGATAATACAGAAGCTAGTAATACAGATCCAAATTGAGAGGCTCTACGTCGACGAATACTACTTGATCCACAACTTTCAGGAAATGGTCGTAGGTGTAGTATATCAGCACAACTAATACATAATTTTTGTTTATAGAAAAAGAAAGGATTAGTTATCTAGTTCATGACTGAAGTGAGAAAAATAAGTACAACAGGAAACAGATATAATGAAATAACATACAGACCGAAGGTCCTGGGCTGGATTCCCAGTTGAGAAGTCGTGGGTGTGGGATGCTGAAGATTCCCATCCTAGGACGAAACGGACGTCTAATCCTTTCAAGTTTCTAATGGTCATTTAACTTAGAAAGGCTCTTGATCTCAATAAAATTCTGCAATCTCTAGAACTTTGTACTAATAGAAAGTATAAAGTTTGCAAAAATATTTTTCTAAAAAATATGTTGATAAACATGAAGAGTGAATACATCCAATTGATAACCTGGATTCACGATGAGTCTAGTTGTCTGTGTTTCATGGATATCTGCCGTTTAATTAATTAACTTAACATGAGATAGATAGTTTGTGTTTATGCGCTATTCAGTCAAGAGACTGGGACAGTGCATAAAAACATTTTCACTAAGACAATTTTTATAGTGATAGGTACTGAGTTTATAACAATGCTTTCGTCGAAGGATTTGTTACAAAACAGATTATGCTAGGAATGGTTAGACAAAATAAACGATAAAGTATATAAAAAGTATTGAACATTGAAACAGATTCTCTGACTCTAATTGAAGTTCAAAAAACCATAGATAATCTGAAACGAGGAAGAACAGCTGGTCCAGATGGACTTACTCCAGATGTCTTTAAAAATGGTGGTTCAGTTTTAGGTTGACTAATATTTTAGCTAAAATCTGAGAACTGGACGTAATCCTATCCAACTGGCCGCAATCATTGATCGTCCCAATATATAAAAAAGGATCCATAGGGGGAGTAGTATGACTACCATAGCATCTAAAATACTAGCCTTAATTATCGGATGCTTAACAAAGACTCACAAACAGCAAATACGAGAAAATCAGGCTGGTTTCAGATTTGGTCCTGGATAAATCGACCACATGTTCACCAATTGTCAGGTTCTAGAAAACGGGCATGCTTATGGGCTTCCGACAATGGTGGCCTTTCTTGACTTAAAAGTGGAATTCGACTCTGTAGACTGAGAGGTTCTATGACAATGTCTGTCATTGAGAAGTGTACCGCAGAAGTACATAAACCTAGTGGGGGCTTTTTACTCGAACACAACCAGTCAAGTCAGAGCTTTTGGTGAACAGTCGTCTGATTTTGCAACCTCAAGTGGTGACCGTCACGGGTGTCTACCATCCCCATTTCTGCTTCATCATAAACCTACAGCTGCCAGCCTGAAATCTGGGGTAAGTTCATCTGGACCAGTTGTTCTTCCTCGTCTCAGAATATCTATGGTTTTTTGAACTGCAATTAAAGTCGGGGAGTCTATTTCAATGTTCCATGTTTGGAAATGTTAGGTAGCTAAATGCTAGCTGAAATGATCATTAAAGTGTTCCATCCATCGTTCAAACGTCTGGACTGAGAGGAGATAAGAGTTTCATCTTTTTCCGAGATTGTTTCACTCACACTTGAATTCCCAATTCCAGTTTCTTTCACTAGTCTGAAAAGCTGTCTTTTGTTGCCTCCATATCTTTTGCTTTCATCGCCCACCACTGCTCAAGATCGTTCCGTAAACTTTTGATTAACCTAGATCTGATTTGTTTTCGCTCGTCATTGGGTTCGGAGTCTGATGTGATAAGTTTACGAGAATCTATCATTGCAACAGATGTCACAGAAGTTCATTGGATTTTTGTAACCCTTTGGTTTAAATCATTAACACATGTCACTGTTGTTTCCACAGCTGTTTGTATATCTTCCCAAGAAACATCTGGGTCAGCCTCGCTTTCAGAACTGCATCAGCGTGGCTTCAGTTGTTCCCGGAATCCACTTTTGGCTTTCTCGTCACTGAGTTCGACTCTAACGGGTCTTCTTTGCGTAGCCTTTCTGCGTCCAGTGAGGCGCAAGCAGATGGGTGCCCATATTAGAACATGGTCGAAGTCCAAGCAGGTATTCTCGAACGAGCGACCATCTTCTATCGACCCTCTCCAATGATGATTGATGGCAATATGGTCTATTTGAGTCTATCGTTGGTTTGGTGCAGGGGGTCGCCAAGTTGGTCAGCAGTACGGCTTCGCTCTCGGACCTTGGGTTTACTGTTTTTAGTCTTACTGCTTTTCAACCGACCTACCTAGCATGTCGGAACCTTGAGGAACGATTGTTCCAGCCAGTATAGCCCGATTGGTTTATCTCGATAGACGGGACCGACCACAAAGTCAAAGTAGCAGCAACCGTCAGGAGTCAGGTTTATTATCAATTAACAGATGGAAATTATCCGGAGAATCGAAGTCAGTCAGTCAGTAACAACGTGGAACTTCTTACGTACGTACGTCAGTTCGAGTTGCCATACCACATTAGCACAGAGATGCAGTTGTTGATTCAAATCCCGTAGTGGTAGAGGTAGTAAGAGTATAAGCAGTAATCGGAAACATTAAGGTTTGAAGATGTTATTCAAGAAGTATAACAGTGAAATAAATTTGGAAAGAGGAAAAAAAGGGACATGACAAATTCAGAGGATTAGAATTTGGGAGAACACAAAATCAAAGAGTTAAACATACAATATTCGACCCATCGGGATATCAGTAATATATATTCTAACCAGTAAATAAACTGAATAAAGTTTGATTTTCCTCAAAACAAAAACGAAATAGATTGTGAATACCAAAAACGGACATTTGTTAAACATACCATCGTGTATAAAAAAGTTTACGTTCATCCAATATACTAGTAATTTTGGCAACAGCTTCACGATCTTGTGATAAAAGATAACGGTGAATATTTGTCCTAAAATTCATCCCAATTACCGACACAATGAAAAAAAGAACGTATAAATTAAGAAAACCTGTATTATTTAGTTGTACAATGAAGAAAAACAATGATATATCCATTTATTTAAACCAAAATATGGAAAAAAGTAATTGGGAATAGATGACTAAGTATCAAAATTATAGGGATTTGTGGAGATTAATAAATATTGGTGAGATCATGAACCAACCCAAGTTAGACAACCGTCGGATACCTGGAAGCCCCGTACAACTATTTCATCCTAGTATGGGACTTGGCGTTGTCCATCTATAACCCTGCCACCTGGGGTCGAATACAGAGCCTTCGGTTTCATGGGCGCACACTTAACATTGAGACGACTGAACCGAAATTCAATGGTGTATATATCTGAATTCAATCAGCTGAAGATACGGAGCAACCATTTCCCGTGGTTGTCTGGTGCGTGGAACGAAAAGTATGAAATGACATTGAAATTTAAAATATAAATAACATGTCTATGCAACCGTGGTCAATTTTGAGATATGTCAGCAAACGCTCCTGTCCAAGAAGTCTGGATTACCCCCCACATATCTCAGTAAAAAGGTGGGTGACTTTATGGACTGATATCATGCTCTTGTCTGGCTGCCCCTTATCTCCTTACAATCTATTACTATGAATAGCATTGTGTAGCAAGGTAGACGAGTAAACCATAATATTTTACTCATGAGGAATATAGGTTATACATAAGTAATAATAACAACGATATTTAATATTCATGACAAGTTTCCTTTTATTCGAAAGCAAAGTTAGTAGTTGTTTGTTAAACAATAGCACGAAATTACCTTATTATGAATGTTACAAAATATTTGTAAAGGTTTTTGTTATTTCTTACTAAGTATTAAAACTTTTTTTTTAAACCAAATTTCTGATGGCTGTTTAGTAACACACATTTTGTAAATCAAGTTAGTAATTCGTAAAGTAATTTTATCACAAAATGAAACCAGTAGTAGAACAACTGAAAGTCAAGGAGGACTGGGTGAGTGTTTTGCTTTAGTAAAGAGCCCATCATGAAAAAGTGCACACTCATGACCTCATACGGAGTTGAAACCACAGTTTTCGGGTCTTAAAGTGAGAAGAATATCATTCTTTAATTAACCTGAGAAGCTGTCCATGAGCTCAGTCTCGACTGAGATTGTCCATCTGTACAGTCAAGCAGTCTTAAGCTAGAATATCCAAGCGTCCTAAAGCACATCAGTAATCAACAGTTCATCAACTGGTATCAGTCAGCGATAAAAACGATTTTAGTTCGTACTAAATCTTTACGCGAATAGGTTGAAAATCCCTCCAGTGTTTTACTGGACGGTACTGTTATTTCTTTAATCTTTTGTCCTACCTTATGTTAAAATTTGCTGAGGTCTCTTGTAACTTTATCTTATTTTCTTTTCTCCTTTTTGCCCGGGTTTTTACCATTTAACTTTAGCAGAGATTTACCTTTATTTAATTTTGCTAGTGCATGTTCCCAACTTGTTCAAAATGAGGTCGTATATGACTAAACTCAAGGTTTCGGCATGGTTCGATTGATGATTGTTGACCTTTGATTACCTGCTGGAAACGGTTACGCGAATCATTGTAAATAGATATTTGATCTCATCTTGTAAGGAATCGTCTTAGTGATTCTCAGGTACAGATCACTTGTGTTTATTAACGATTCTATTGACAGTTTAGTATGCTATTTTGTGCTAGGTAAACCGTCGACTATGTAGCACAGGCTATATCGTTTAAGGTATCCTGTACTTATGACATAATGGCACGGAAAAAAAGTCAGAGCCTTTCGAAGCTGCCCGCCCTTTCGTTTCAACGACCTTGAACGGCCTGACAAAACGCGGTCATTCCGTATTTCAATTGCCATGGGTTTGTTAGGTTGCATGTGTATCAAGTTTTTTCATATAAGTCATCTTTCGCTGCATTAAAAAGCACAAAATAACTGCCAAAAGCATTAATTTAGCGTTCTCTGTTTTTTGGTGTACATATTGGCTCTGTTGTTGCTTCGTAACTTGATCTGTGATCCCAGCTGCTGTAGTAAATCTCAACGAAATGTCAAGTCACCGGTAAAGAATTTAGACCTTAAACGTCAGACATTAGTTAAAGTTCTCACGGTTTTTGATTCACTTTCAAACATTCCGAATTACGCCTATGACCAAATGTACAGTGAAACGTAACAAACAGGTATTTGAACCTGACATCCTTCAGCAACTTGCTTTCCGTGTGGATGTAATGAGTATGGGTAGTCTGAGAAGGAATAAAATTATTCATCCATACTTTTTAGAACTCTTTTAGCGCGCTATCAAAGTCATCCCAGCATGCGAAACGCTTGTTCAGTATCATACTTTGAAAAGCATCGCTAAGGTCCACTGAAATGTCACTTGAGCATGAAGCACTACGAACAGAAATCATTAATTATAAAAAACTTATTCCTTGAAACAATAATAACCCAAGGAAGTACTACAAATATTTAAGATTTACCGGTGACTTGACATTTCGTTGAGATTTACTACAGCAGCTGGGATCACAGATCAAGTTACGAAGCAACAACAGAGCCAATATGTACACCAAAAAACAGAGAACGCTAAATTAATGCTTTTGGCAGTTATTTTGTGTTTTTTAATGCAGCGAAAGATGACTTATATGAAAAAACTTGATACACATGCAACCTAACAAACCCATGGCAATTGAAATACGGAATGACCGCGTTTTGTCAGGCCGTTCAAGGTCGTTGAAACGAAAGGGCGGGCAGCTTCGAAAGGCTCTGACTTTTTTTCCGTGCCATTACGTTTATTATCAAATTAGTATCACTACCTAGGTAGACTATAATTTCATGCGATTAGTTCTGCTTATGAATTTAAATGAAACTAGAAGAAATATTGATGCAGAATAGTATGCATTCATTATATTTCGTGGTTTCTCGTCAGCTGCTTACAACCAAATTGGAATAACGTAGGTTATCAATAATAAGTATAAACATATGTATATATGCAATAACAGGTCAGAGGTTATTTGTTGATAGAATCAAGGAAACATTAAGGATGGGTGGTGTAATAATCGAGTGGAGTTCAGAGACAGATAAGTGGTGTGAAAATTTTATGGGTAATAAAGGATTCCGTTAATAGAAATTCATTGATTATCCTTACAACAGACACATCAGAAATTAGTGTTAATTACAATTAGGTTCAGTTACCATGCTCACAACAAACAGGCATCGTGTGACTTATGACGAAAATGTGACTGATTAATGTGGCACTTATAGTAATTTTATGCACAGTTCCTTGATTCAACCTACATTTTACAAACACCTATGAACATCCAAGTTCAACACCACCATAATTAAGGACATGAATGAAATGCAAATGGTTTCACAGTTCATTTTGGCATATAACTCCGATATGGGTAATTAGATTACTAACATGACCACAACCCATAAACAATTAAAAAAGAAAGTTAGTGTCCACTCGTCAGCATAGCCGAAAGCAAAATATGCCTATGTAATACGTGCTTGCTGTTATTAAGAATCGACCATCCATTGATGATTTGGTCTTCCAGATTAAACGTAATTTGTCCCAACAAACTATCTTATACAATATTTTATTACTTTAGCTGAGTTTCGTGGCTAGAATGGAGATATTAGTGTCATAAATTTGTGTTTTAGGTTGGATTGCTCGTTCAATGTTCGCCACGTATTTGGTCTGAATTACTTTGGACTTATACAAAGTCAGTCTGTAATGCAGTAGGAATTCAAGAATTAACTCATTAATACTTGTTATTTGATTCTAGTTATTCTAGGGTTTCGCCGTATCGTACACTGACAGCTCCAAATCCATATCATATAACTATGAACGACTCACCATGTTAGTAGTTTGCTTTATACCATGTTTATGATCCCAATCGGTTAGATTAATTGCTTAAATCTACAGTTTACAAACAGCCACCAATATCCACTTTCAACACCACCATAATTAAGGACCTGAATTATATGTAAAAGTTCTTAACGCTCATTTTTCCATAAAACTCTGATTATGGTCTATTTTTGACTTCATAAACGGTGAATTTCACTAGCCTGAATTAGTAATGTTGCAAATAACCATATTAAGCTTACTAAACATTTACACAGGTTGTCAGCAACAAACACGTCAAACTACTAATAAACTGTAATAAATGTCATGTAACAAACAAAAATACTATAAAATTATTGTGAGACGGAAAGAAAACCATTTATACCTGATAAATAACGACATCCCAAAATCCTCGACAATATGTTAAATGTGCGCTAAAACACATAGCGTAACAGCCTGACTGTGCCTGATGTAATTTACTGCCTTTGTTAGATTAGGACCGATTACAAAGGGTTTGTGTTTTGATATAACCTAGTATTGGTGATTTGTGGGCGAGGCTGATAATGATTGGTTGTTTTTTGGTCAGATTAGTAGATATTCTAAGAGGTACGAGATGAATTATATGTTCTCTTACTTTTATTGTTACTGTGACTGTTGACAGGTTGTTGTTGGGTTTTGGTGTGGAAGTATACATGCATTCTAGTCGGGCTAGTCACGTGTTCTTGATCTGAGTTGTGTTGAAGGCCTTTAGAATAGACACTGGGAGGGTATCTAGTGAAGATATTCGTCCAAGGCGAATTAGAATCCAGTTCGTGTAGATGAGGAAATCAGAGCGTTATAACAATGAGTAACTCAAAAATGCTTTATATGCTATACAGAAAAAAGTAGTTTGATCTACTTTGGTTAATTAGCTCTGCATTCAGATCAACTATTGGACTTTTGATCGTTACAACTACTATAGTAAATGGAATGAATGGTTGGAGAAATTTCACTAGAGACAGCAATATATTTAATAGATATACTTTCAATTTCATAAGGTCTTTATCACGCAAGTTATCTGAATTTGAACATATTGATTTAGGATAACTTTTAGTTACAGGATATATACCTATTAGCAATTTGTTCATGGAGATTCAGCTAGTTAGAAACACATGACTTTTAGAGGTATTAATATCATGGATACAATAATTAATTTGCAACAACTAGATTGTAAGTTTTGCAACATTTACTTCGGTCTGAGCAGTTCGACAGAGTGTGGTTTAAAACTGAATACTTAACTTTGTATTCCCTAAATGGACTACATGAATACTATCACATTATATAAGTTTAGAAATCACACATACTTATAAATACTTTTCAATATGTACTGAATATTATTCATTTGGAAAATCATTCGACGTATCTCTTCAGAATAAACTTCTGATTTACGTTCCAAATTTGTCATAAGAGCGAATATAGCATTAACTAAGAGGAAAAAACAATTTTCGAAAATAAGAATGGTGAGAAAATAGTCAAATGCTTATAGATCTATGTATATGTTGAGGTTAGACACAGAGTACCAGGGAATGATGGTAAATCAGTTGATAATGTTGTAAATCTCCGTCGACTGAGATGGTTGAGCCACGTGTCACGTATGCCTGAACACCGATTACCACGACGCGCAATTCTGCCTAGTGTTGAGAATGGTTGGAGAGTTACAGGCGGCCAAACAAAAAAGTGGCATCAGTGCTTGAAGTCACTAACTTCTAGTCTGAGCCATGTTGGTAGATGCAAACTAATTAGTTGGGGTCCACGCGACTATTTTAACCAATGCTTGGAGACTGAGTGACACGGCTCATGATCAATCACAATGGCGTAGGTGTATACACTCTTTGTCTTCCCTTGAATCGTGAGATTGAAATTACTTTATACCTTTCTAATTCTTTCTTCCTGTACTAGATCCTTTTACAAACTTTCTTTTATATATTACTACCATTGAAATAACTGCTTTTATGAATTTAATGTTCATCTTGTTTTGCTAATGCGGCATGGCAACGTGGACCGATGCATATATGTGCCTGGTCCTACGTTGTAGCTGACTGACCGATATGTTGCAAAATAAATTTTGAATAATTTATGACATTTATGTGGTTCCACTGAACAACCCAGAATTATGTTACATAATTTCATTCCTGGATTAAAAGGCTCCAAAAGGTGAAAGGAAAAAACAAATAAACCCTGATGAATAAAGTTGTCATTGCTTCTGAGAAATATTTATTTCTGAAGCAATTAAATGCGGCTTTTGGAAGCGACCAGCAGTGTTGCAATTGTTAAGTAGTTAAAATAAAGGATTTATATGTAGTTGAAATGTTCTTGTAATGGTGATTTCAAAGCACTTTTTTAGTCAATTTAGAGAGAGGTTTCGAGCGAGAGAACTTTTGTTTCAACAGATGTTTGGTGATGGCTAGAGGAGTAGTTCAAATAAACTTCAGGGTAGTCACTCTAACATGAACATCTGATTCAGAAAGCTAGAAAAATATTTCTTAACTAGCGTTTGGAAGCTGAGACTTCATGATCGGTCTTGGAATGTTGTGTATCGGTGACCTATTGAGCAGAAACCATAGGTGATGAAACCCTGAGGTGATAAGTATCCCATATGAATTCGCTCTATTAAAATGCACAGATCAAGTTTAGTATTCCATGTTTATTTGTTCGCTTTGTATATTGTACTCTTAGGGAGTTTATCATAGTCGTGATCCGAATTATGAAAGAAACACTTCGGATGCTTATGTTTCCTAATTGAATATTGTCTTCGGTGTGTAAACTACGGTTTGTTTTTGGTACGTTTCTAGATCTCCTTTATGTTATAACCACATCATAGTAAATATTCAGTTGGTAATATCAACAGTTAAGTAGGGTTTTATTTTGCTATGAGAAAGAAGTAAGGCATTTTATAAGGGATAACTCATTACTTCTTTACAGAGAACTGTGCGTTATAAGACTTTTTTTTCAAGTTATCCTCAACTCTTTTGTATTACTGCAAAAACATTTCTTCAACGAATATATCAATGACCTTATAGTATGTATGCCAGATAAATTTCGGATTATTCTGAAATGGATGTGTTCACATAAAGTTGCAAATAGGATTATGTAGACTAAGATGAATGTAGTTGATAAATTGTGTAGGCCAACTAAAGTCGTTCGAAAAAAATCATTTATAAATGCCTATTTTCGACAACTTTAGTATTTCGACATTTGATTTTGTCATAAAAAACAGCAGTTGTATATTGAATAACTCATTGATCACAAACAAATGAGACTCATGCATTAAACAACAAAACTTCCAAAATGAATAGAGTGCATGTTTCTAAATAGATGTAAACAGTTCTTGCTGATCAGAATATGTACTATTTTCCCTCAAAAGATAATAAGCAACGTTTTATGAATAAACTAGTTTCAATTGTCAATAACAAACTAAAAAAGTACTTATCATATAAAAAAAGAAAAGAATCCTTACATAAATAATTCCCAAATTTATTTTCCAAAAGGGCATGATTTTGGCCAATAGTGGTAAGATATTTAAGTGTGTTAGTGGTAGCTTGTGGACCAGCTTCAGTAAATGACAAAGTAGTGCCAATAATATCAGCGAATTCTAACAAGTTTTCTAAATACATCAATGCCTAATCGATAAGGAAAAAGACAGATATACATAGATATTTCAAGTCAGTTCAATGTGCATAACAACAATACTGATACGTATCAATTAGTAGGCACAGTATTTTATAGAGGGACTCGTTAGGTGATTAGACGTAGTCAACAGGCGATATTGGACCTAGATTTTATGATACATGGCACTCATCAACAAGACTTATATGTAATTCTGATGGAACTGATGTTTACTGTGTGATTCGAACCCATTTCACTTAGCTTCACAGTCTGAAACGTTATTACTGAGGTGCTCGAGTCGCGTCTGATCTCCTGAGGGATAGAGATGTTGATAGTTGATGATTTATTTGATTATCACCTCTTGGTGTGACGAATTGAGCCAGTGTACATTTGCCTCAGGATAGTACAATTTTTATCATTTACTTTAGGAAGTCATAAACTAAGAAAGAATTCTTAGTATTTACCTTTTAAATGTCATCTTGGAGAAATGTTACATGCAAAACGGTGATGAATAGTGATATTTTAGTCTGTTGTTTATGTAGGTCACAAAAAAGCATTTTTGCGAAATGTATACTCGATGAAAGAAGAATAAGAACAGCAGTGACTAGAAAAAACCAAGAAAGTTTATTTCATCAGTTATGAATATTAACACATTATCAGATTGTTATTATTATACTGTACCGATAATCCTTAGTAAACTTTGGTGTTTTGATGATCATAGAATTGAACTTAAGATTGACTTTGTTGCACGCATACAACATAAATGACCAATAGATAGTCTGTGTTACCCTTTTCTGTTCCGAAGCAATTGTAATTTAAACATAATATTTTGCACCCTATTTTCTACTCTAGTTCCCAGCAGCTTTGGGCATAATTGTCTTTTTCCTAATTATTGTACGTTGTGGTCGGATTAGTCACCTTCTTATTCATGTACCTTTTTACACTAATCTGGATTTCAGAAGAAAATCAGAAATCAGGATATCGGGAATAGATCAAGTAGTGTTCCAGTTGTTTTGTCTTCTCTCGTCTGCATGCTTGTCAGCTTTCTTTCTCCCCTCTACCCCATTTCGAACTCATGTGTACTAGCCTCAAAGTTAGGTCCGTCAGCCTATCGCGCCAAGGTCTTAAATCTGGATTAGATAAGTAACCTCAGCACCAAAAGTGGATAGACAGTCCAAGGACATAACAGTTACATACTTAAAAATACTAGGAGGGCTTCACTACAAAAATGAAAGACTATGGTAATAATATACAGCCCCTACTACCTTGAGCTAGCTAACACAGACAGCTTGCCTTATTTGAGGTACTAATCAATGTAATTCATGATTTCCTTGATCCAATAAATGAAATAATAGACATGTGAGCTAAGGACATATATCTTTACAAACTCAATTGTCATATTAGATCGATCATCCATGCAACTAGTTATTTAGACTACATCACTTAGGTTTTCAGTTTGCTTATACAATCCGGAATTGTATTGACAGCAGCAATAGGACGACTAAAAGTGAAATGACAAGGTCTGATTACAGTCAACAAAATGATGGGACAAGTGTACAGGCACAAATGAGGAGTATTTGAAAGAGGCTTGATGCAACCTAGAGAATTTTCTAAAAAAAAATTCACATTACTGATTAACATTTTCACTGAACAGATCAATAATATCAAAAAAGGGTTCTTCTTAAAAATATACCACTAATTAACAGCTTTTACAGTGTAAGTCTATTTTATTCACACATCCACCAAAGTTATGACCAATGAACGAGAAAGAAAACACATATTTGTTCTTATTCTTTAAAGTTCAATACACAACTATCAATGAAATTTCACTTACATTAGTTGTAAGTTCATGTATTGTTCCATCTTCGGGTACAATATTACTATTTGAACTAGATTTTTCTGTAACTTGTTGTAAAAATTGTACATAAGTTTCTAGCGTTATTTTACTTTGACTTAATAAACGAAGAACTAATTGATTAAAATCAATTAATACATTATCAACACCCTATTTAGAAAACAAATAAAAAAGGAAAAAACAAATTAACATTAGTAGTTGTTAAGTATATACAAATTTATTACTAAAAATTGATTAATTTATCAAATAAAACAGTGCTATGGTCTCAAATGCGAGTTCATACAATCATCGTTATTTTTTTAAAAAAAGCTTATATTTACACTATTTTAATTTGGACATATCCATGATCTGATCTAAATAAGATCCAAACTAGAACATTGAAGACAAAATTTAGCAGTTACATTTTCTACCTTAATCAAACGCAGTGGTACGATATGATCATTATTTAGCGTTATTCCATATAGATGGTGGGGAAGATTTGTAGCTCAGGTGGATGATTTTGGTGGAGTTTTGTTCTCTGACAAAACCATCCAGCTCAGAGAACAAAACTCCACCAAAGTTATTCCATATATAATACCGGATTTCAACCTTAGAGAGAATACTTGAACAAAATCTAACATTTATAAAAAGACAAATGGATGCATATGTTTCCAATAATTAATGAAGAAAATTCTCAATAATTAAAAACATTTATCTTACCTGAAGTACAGATACAAGATCATCAGAAATTTGGAAAAACTTTTTAAGTACTACTAATAATGACATAACCATATGAAATTCTGCCCGTCCTTGAGCTCGATGCATTAAACGAGTTAGTGTCTATGGTAAACATCAAAACAAAGCAAAGTCTGTGAATATGAACCAACAAAAGTGCGATGTAAATATTACTGAATCATTTATGATATTTAATGCTTATTGACATCAATTACATTACATAATGATGGGTTAAATAGATAAGAAGTTCCTGAAGAGATATTTTGGAAACAAAATAAAAGAAAACGGAGTTTTATTAGTCTTTCGACACATGTTTAAAAAATATTGGCTACCTACCGCGTACGATGTCTACTAAAACACAGAAAAACTGGAATTGTGGTCGAACTGGAGAGAGGGATCGATTTGTCAAGTCAGTCAAGTCACTCATAATATAATGTGCATAGTGAATAATCTCCAATAATATCCTACAATTTTCTGATTATCCAGAATTGTGAACAGGGTGAGAAAAAAAAATCCACAATCTTCAAGTTTCTGTGACGAATGCCCTCTTTATTTTAAACTAATCTGCACAACTGATCATCCAATAAAACTTGTGATCACCGATAACTCTGAGATGAATTTCTGAAGTTCAGGTAAAAATTTATGACCGGTGGACCTTAAACATGTTGGGGGCGAAACAGTAGTCACCAACGGAATTAGACGGTCATCATTCTGTGTAACGAACTGACTGAAGTTAAAAATGTACTATTGGATCCCAAACAATTAATGTGATGGTTAGGATCTCACCACGACAGCTGAAGGTTCTGAGTTCGATTGCTCATGAGGTCTTACTGTGCGCTGTTGGGAAATATACATTAGTTCAAAGAACAGAAATTTAGAAGTGTTCGACAGTTAAAGCCAATCAGGTAGGAAGGCCTAAGCCTAATCGATAGAACTAAATTAGCACTATGGATTAGACAAAAAGATTATAACTAGGTAACTAGGTGGTGTGAATGTTAGTGTAGGGTTTTCATCATGCAAATAGCCTCCAATAAGTTGTAATGGTAATTTTGGATTCCAATAATATACTTTTAAGATACTGACTTATCATTACTGATATCAAGCATTTTAATAATATGACCTATTAAAGAGGGAGAAAAAGAAATAGACTTACTGTTCCTTCAGTTAGGATATCAGATGACCCGTTTTTAAATATATTGAACAATAACACTTGAGAATCTTGTGGACTAGCAGTCAACTGTAAACGATCCAACAAAATACATTCATTCTAAAAAATATTAAATAAAATAATGATAATAGCTAGTGGAGGATAGTTACTTTAATTTTCTAGGAAATAAAACACATCCTCGTGCACTCCTACTGAGTAGTAACGAAAAACTACGGTCAAAAATCAAAAGACAACTGAAGGTATTGATGAAGAAGGAGAATGTAAAACTTACGACTTATAATTGATAAACTAAACTACATTCAGTGGTTTACAACTGGTTAGTACCCGAACAAAATTATCGAAGGTATAAAACTTAGGAAATAATCCTATTATTGAATGATCCACCTGGCTTAATAAAAATTTGTAATGCACAATGGGATTATATTAAATAAAAAATACGCTTAATGTAACTCAGCACTTATATGCAAACCCATGTACTTCATTATTATTGGTACTAGCTGCGTATTCAAAATGAAGTATCGGTGATCAGCAGGTTTTGAACCTGTGATACAATAATCAGATAAAATTTATGATGATTCATTTACTCAATTCGGGTTTTGGAACCAGACGTTTTGTGTAAGGTTTAAAGTATGATGGATCGTTACTTGAATGACCGGAGATTTGACTCCGATTTGTATAAACGAAGGAATATGACAAACGTAAATCTGTTTAGTTCTATATATTACGTATCGATTAGCCCATTTGTGCGACGGCGGTAATAATAAGCCAAATACAGATTAAGTTGGATTGGATTTGCTTTAGATTTTCATTTACTCAGATAGACATTAAAAATAAGAAGCGGGAAAGCGAAAACACTCAGGAAAGCGAAGCGTCTCAACTCTATTTGATAAAGTGTGACTCACTATTTAAAGCCAGACAAAAATAAGCTGAAGATATTTGAGGAGCGAGTAAGCGGTACACACACATGCTCATATGAAAAGTCAAGGTTACAAGCGAATAACTGACAAGGTTGAATAATGGCTCAAGAGGAACAAAATATTTGGACTCTCTGAAAGCTAGAACAACCCGTGTAGGCGTGACATAGTACTGGACATTAGAGAAGATACCAGGAGGCTGTAGGGAGCCCGGTTCAAACCCGTGATAAATAGCTGGAAACTATGGCTTTGAACGACTAAACAATAAAGTTAATAATTGAACATCGATTGTTTTAACCACTGCGGCACTGTTCTCCGAAGATACAATCTAGAATCTCATCTTTAAAGGATGTTCAGCTAATATATATTGAGAACGATGAAAAATCAATGACGCAGTATTCAAAGTGTACACTGACTTGCATTAATTTGACAAGAACACCTAGAGCGATAGCATAGTGTTCAGAATCAAGTTCATCGGTTTCTGCTTCATTAATCAGTCGAACAGCATTTACTATAAAAATAAAATGAAACAAAAAAGAACAGTATATTTACAAGTTATACACAAAAAGAATTATAAAGTCGAATATTTCAATGAACATAAAGAAGATTTATAATTAATAGTTTTTTAAAAGAACTAGTAGGTCTTACTCGTTACCATTGATAGCATTTCGGGTACTATTGGAAGCCAGGGAGTATTGGATAGCTTATTCGTTCTAGGGTGAGCTCCGCAGTAGTCCTCACTTAAACCTCAACAAGGATCGAACCTTGGTACCCCAGTTGAGAACAGTTCCTGAAGTACACCGAATTTGGAATAAACCAATTTCCCGAAACTACTCAAAACTAAAAAACTACTTAACAAACTGTAAACACAATTTATTATATGGGAATCACTAATGTTACTAGGCTTTTGGAAGTGGAACATCTCACAGAGCTAAACACTAGTCAGAAAACATGTCTAGTCAGTCAGCTACAACGTAGGACCAGGCACATATATGCATCGGTCCAAGTTGCCATGCCGCATTAGCACAGCAAGATGAACACTGGATTCACAGAAGTAGATAATCCAATGATGGTAATATATAAAAGAAAGATTGCATATAAGGATATATTTACTAGTTCGTAGAAACATATGAAGCGATTTTAATCTCATAGTTCAAGAGAAGACAAAGAGTGTATACACCTACGCCATTGTGATTGATCATGAGCCATGTCACTCAGTCTCCAAGCATTGGTTACAATAGTCGCGTGGACCCCAACTAATTAGTTTGCATCTACCAACATGGCTCAGACTAGAAGTTAGTGACTTCAAGCACTGATGCCACGTTTTGGTTTGGCCGCCTGTAACTTTCTCCAACCATTCCCAACATTAGACAGAATTGCGCGTCGTGGTAATCGGTGTTCAGGCATACGTGACACGTGGCTCAACCATCTCAGTCGACGGAGATTTACAACATTATCAACTGATTTACCATCATTCCCTGGTACTCTGTGTCTAACCTCACTATTACTTACCCGGTGATTGCAACAATATTTCTAAGGCATATGTGGTCAAGAAAACATATCCACGACTTTACGAAGCATAAAGTTAGCCACAGTGCCAAGAGACAACACGAAAACAGAATTTTAATCACTACTTTAACCAATGACGACACGGGAGGAAAACAGGTATTTACAGAGTTTTCTGAAATTTCATTTAGAGTCATATATCGAAAGTGTACACTTTAATGCGGCGAACTTAACTGGGTTCGGGTAGCTTAGAAATCCCGAAATAGGACTAGAAAACACCCTGTCTTAGGCTGATCAAGGTTGAACTTTTGGGAAATAGTAAATCTACTACCAACTATTTATATCCTACATGATTGCTTACACGGTATTGTTGTCGACCAATTATACATAAATACTTCTTCAAGTACATTACAGAATTAGATGAATATTGAACTGGAAAATTAGTAAACTAATGATATTAATTTTAACCACAGTATTTATGTGCTTGTTAAATAAAAAATAAAAACAATGACTGAAACTATTTTCAACTGTTCTTAGGAGGTTGACAGCTCAGTGGTTAAGATATTCACCTTACATCCACTAAGTAGCAGGTCCAAACACTGCTCAATCTATTTCACTTTGGGCAACTGATAAATATTGACAACCCTTACACTTAAAGTATGGCTAGAAGCCAAGTAAACATATCAGTGTCCGGTTATAAGTTAATAATAACTACTGTTTATTAAGCAATAACTAACTAAATTTTACTTGATATCCGTGTAATATGCAAAGATAACCTTTTTTAACTGTTCAAAGTACGCACCTTTTCCGCCTATTTTAGTTGTGATTAACATACTGCTGATTCGAGATTAAATGAACAATTCTACATACTTTTAAATAACTAACCATCTACTTTAACTTCTCAACCATCTTATTCAGAATAATTTGCTAACTTAATAACTTGTTATTGCAATTTTCTTTTGATAACCATCATAAATTCTTAAATTTTTGAGGAGATGGTAATTCTTCTTTGCAAATACCATAAAATTAGTGTGCAACTATAATGAAAAAGTCATGAAGCAGTAATTCGCATTTAAAGGGGGAGGAGCGCATCCCAAACATTCTGGCATTGTTGTGCAGTGCAATCAATAGACTGCATTTTATCAGCGTCTTCACCAAACAGGAATATATCATCTGTGCATTCTAAGTCGATAAGTAGACCTCCTGGTAGGAGATCAAGTCCTGAAAAGTCAGTCGACGAGAACGTTATTTCCAGCAGTAGGTCTATGATAAAATTAAACAAAAGAGGAGATAGTGGACAGCCTTGATGGACACCATTAGAGGTTGCGAAATCAAATGACAAATAGCCATAAGCTCTGACTCGACTAGTAGTGTTCGAGTAAAGAGCCTTCACAAAGCTTATTTACTTCTGAGGTACTCCTGTTAATGACAGACACTGACACAGAATCTCGCGGTCTATAGAGTCAAACTCTGCTTTTAAGTTTAAAAAGACCACCATTGTCGGACGCCGATGAGTATGCCCGAGTTCTACAATCTGACAAATGGTGAATATGTGGTTGATGTATTCATGAGCAGGTCTCAAGCCATGTTTACTCTCTAGTTAATTTACTCCCAGCTGTTATGTTATCAGGTTCTAGCGCACTAATGAAGAGTTCTACTTAAATAACTCAGTACCTAATCGAGAAATCCCATGTAGAGTATGTAATTTTTCTAGAATTTTCACATGCACTGATTTTACTTAGTTTATTACGTGATATCAACTATAGTTAGACTATTCTCATCTTAGAAATTTCCTCTGCTTTGTCATGTGATAATCTGATAACAGAGATGGAACATCACATCAGACAAGAAAATAATATTTCTAGATCGTAATAGAAAAAATAATTGAAACGCTCTCAGGTTACTGTTATCATAATAAAGGAAGTTGTATATTTTCAGAGCAATTTTCATAAACAAAGATTATAGAATACTTAAAATTATTGGTTTAGTTCACAAATACACGTTTTCCTTCTTATTTTAATTTAATAATCTCAAAGGTGAGGATAGCCAAAACGTTGACATTTTAACAGAATTAAAAACAAAGAATATGATTGTCAAGATTGCCAACCTACTACGAGTAACTTAAAATGTTGTAGCCTTAAAACGCTCTGTTATTGCGAAAATTGGGAGGATTTCGTTGTTATTTACGCAATGCTGTCACACGTTTATAGAACAGTGAGGGAAGTGCCACTCATACCGTCACATAGTTTTTCACTACGTAAGTGAGTGAGAGGACCAAAGAGAACGTCTGACATCTGAACCGGGTTGGTGAATACGAAGAGTAGACCTAGGGGAGTGGTAAAATTTTAATTTCAAACCAATGATGCACTAGGGAATCCAAGATCTAGACATTTAGGGAGCACCTCAGAACACACTATTTAGATGATGAATAATTATGATGGAGTGAATCACACTGCAGTCAAATAAAGTTTATTATTAGCAAGTAAAGAAATAAAGACAGACAAATCATTCTATTTAACCTCATTATCAATAAAATGTATCGGAATCGAAATAACATCACTTACTATCCCAAACGAATCCAGGGAGGCTTAAATAAAATCAAATAAACACGGGAAAACTGGTAATAAATTGTTTAAATCCCTGAAATATCAGCAATTTGTAAAATCAATTCGTATGTAATGTCATTGAAAAGATTATCTAAAATAGGCATAAACTTTGAAAATCTGCATACTGATCATTGTGTTTAGGATAATAAATTTTTTAGACAATAAAAACCCCACAATACACCAGTAAGTTTAAAGAAAGCAACTACGCTAAAATTTTCTAACACTATTTGACAAATCCCATCTTAGTATGCATGTAATTAATTTGCATCGCCCATTCAATGACGATTCAACTTAGCATACGTTATTTATATATTCTGCCTTCACAGTATGTGTAGTGACAAAAATAACATTCATGAATTGTCACTTCGTGATCTAAAGATCTATGCGTTAAGGTTTCGAAAACATCTACTGTGCTAACAGCGTAGTTTTGTACTTGGATGATCGAATCTTAATGATATGTAGAACTTTTTTCCAGCCTTTAAACAAATGCCTGAGTCAAATATTATTGATTTACGCAACATCGGTTTATTAGAGGTGATCATAAAGCGTTTGATGTTAGTTGAAACATTAGATGAAGTGTTAACCAAAACAAACGGTTTAACAATTATGTTCTCTTAGAATAATCAACTAGGTTTGTTTACCAACAGCGGCTCAGATCGGAAGCCATGTCAGCTTCTCTCTTAGTTCTCACATCTTCCATTGACCATCTGGATTTTTTAGCAATGCAAATATGATCTATCTGGTTCTCTGTATCGTGATCCGGTGAAACCTATGCAACTTTTTGCATCCGTTTGTGGGGAATATAGTGCCACCTATGGCCGATTCGTTGAATGCAAATAAGTCTACAAATCTCTCGCCAATCTCATTCCTTTCTCTCAGTCAATGCTGTCCAATGGTATCTTCATATTCAGTGTTGTCTATTCCGACTTTGATGTTCATTTCTCCCATCAAGATGGTCAGGCCCTTTTCCGAGCACTTCACCACGACCGATTGCAGCCTCTCATAAAGTTGATCTTTATCGTCGTCATTCATGGGTACATAACATTGGATAATATTCAGTGTGACTCCCTCCTTCTTTGTTTTGAAGGTCGCTTTGATGATCCTGGGTTCATGAGATTTTCATCCTATAAGTGCTTTACATGTTTCTCTGACCAGCATCAGAGCAAATCCCTGAGTGTGTGGAGCATTTTTCTCTTCATGACCAGAGCACGGCAGTATCTCTCCCAAATCTAATCTTTTCTGTCCAGTCTGCATCCAATGGGTTTCACTTATTCTGAGAACCGCCAACTTGTATCTCCTCATTTCCACACCTATTTGATTAGTCGTCCTGGTCTCTTACGCTGTCCATACGTTTCATGTACCTATATTAATTGTTACTTTGGTTGTTAGAAGGGGCGTCGAACTGGTGACAGATTCTCGGCCTTCACCATAAGGCCTCATAATTCTTCTAAATGAAGATCCTTCAACTCGGAGGACAGAGTTTAGATTGTTCATTCTGATTAGCGTTTTTTTAAACAACGTTGCTTTATACGAGACATTGTTGCTGACCCTATGTCCAACCCTCCTCTTTTATCCGGGTTTGGGACCAGCATTAATCCCAGAAGGACCGCAAGCGGATAAGAGATTAATTCATGAATATGAAGATGAGTATGCTTTCCAACAAAATAATTAGGTTACAATATATGCATATGACAGCTAACAATTTATTTTTAAATTTTGTTTAGCAATTTCATATAACAGAAGAAACTAACGACATCATGATATAAAGTAGGATAATTGTACAATACTACAAGAGAAAGTTTAATACTTACCGTTTAGCGCGACCACGTACGTTTGGCGGCAGAAATCCTGGTTTCTAAAATAATTGGAAACAAATATGCAAAAAGTATAACATTTTTTGCGAAATCTATAATCAGGAAAATACAGTAGAGATTAACACAATAAATAAACTTACAGATATTGTGCCAGATGATGATGATGATGGATTTTCAGCTTTTCTTAATAATTCACGTACTCTAAAAATATTCCATGTAGTGTAGGGAGATAACTGTTCGTTAAATAGTAGTATCAACAATAAAACACATGTGTAACATGTTTTTGTATCATATATTAAGCATTAAAAAAATATTGCACTACAGAATTAAACTTCAAATGAATGGCATAGTTATTACACCACACAAATCAACATCAAAACCTGATGATATGCAAAGCGAAGTCCAAGCCTGCAGCTTAACGGTTACGAGCATAATATTTCGACGGCCAAGCACCTATATGGCAGATGGATTAGTGACTTTGTCCAGATTTCTTCATTCATACAACGCCCCTTATGCGTGCTATATGTGGTCAATAGTTTAATATTTCACTGAGTGTTCAAATTATACAGTTGTCTTTCCATATTTTCACTAGGTAAGGAATATAGTCTTATTATAATATGAAAATGAAACCATAATAGAATATATTTTTTACACCTTTAGATATCAAAATTTATCACGATTGATTTACCAAACATTGATCAGACCAAGCCTTATATAGGCTTGTATTCCCATATATATTAAGGCAGTCAAAAATAACACATTATTGAATTAAGGAGACCATGGGTATAAAATAATAAAAATTAATTAGAAAACAAAATTTAATGGATTTGTGACACAAAAGAAAGCTAGATTTTCATATTTAGATAGGTTTTATTTAATGAACCCTGACCTAAACTATGAAACAAATATTTCCCCCACTTATTTAGAAATGACTACCTCAAAACTCGCTTGGATTCCGATCGCCTACTAGGTGCAGATTCCCACACTTGGCTTCCAATCACATTCTAATAGTAAGCGCTGGATATACTACCTCGTTGGCTAGACTGAAGTAGGTTGGACAGAAGATCGAACCACCAGGTTAGCGTTTAAACGTTGAACGCCTTAACTATTGAGACTGATAGGACGTACCTGAAATGTGATTATCATCTTTATTATTTTCGATGTATGATAAATCAGAAGTTGCTAAGGCCAGTTTGTCGCACGACACTAAAGCCTATTTTTCCCAGACTTGATAACTTTGATTCTGTAGTGAGTTGTGCAGGGAAATCTATCAGTATACTTTATAGACGGAATTATGTTGATCGATAAAATGAAACATACACTGTTAACATAAAATTACCTTACTAAATTTAAACGGATAAGTTCACGACGGCATTCACAGTATTTTGTCAAACATCCTTGAGATATACCTTGTGGTTTGTTTACAAATGATTGATTTTCACTCATCCATTTAGCAAGAAAACGTAAACTATTCAACATATTATTTGGAATATCCTCTATTTGTTCTGTATCTTCAGTTAATGAACCATCACCTGATTCTTTGTCAGAGACTAAAATTTAAAGGTTTATTGTTGACAAAATGGATTGTGAATAAATTACTTTATGACTAAATCTAATAGCCATATATCATTAGGTCTTACAGACAAAAGAGTATGGCTTAAAGCTGAATACATAAACCTGAACTTGCTTACCGAATCGCATTAGTAGTTTAATAATAATAGGGAAGTTCTAAGTAAATATTAAGCATATGAGCTACTTGAATTTTCAGTAAATTATAAAACTATACAACAGAAAAGTGACCATCAAACAGGAACAAACTCAAGGAGTTGGACTAATATATCTTAGAACAAATCTATATTTGGAAGTTAGTAAATCATCGGATATATCTGTATGATGTAGCAAAATAGGTGGATAGTTGGAAACGAGCCACCTGTTTAAAAGTAAAATGCATGAAAAAGTTAGACAACCCAATCAAATCGCCTATACTGAAGTAGATCGAGAGGAGTTTGTACCTGTGAAATGTTGATTAAAAACTGAGTATATCAAGTCACTAATTATACATTGTGAGCTAAAGTAACGATGGTCACCTAAATTTAATCAACTAGTGGGTGTGAGAATGATAAACGCCAAGTTCACGGTCGAAGTCTATCATTCTTAAAGAAAAACATCAAATTCAAATAAAAAAGTTAAAATTACAAAAACGCCGTTTAAATTACAAAACAATGAAAGAATGTCCACACTTCAAGTTTGTAAACAGGATTTTATGATTTATCAGAACAATACGGAAAATGATAGTGAATAAACAGTTGGAAATCCAATAACCAATAATATTAGACGTAATTATTGTAACTTCTAATCTGGTGGTTTCATAACGAAAAACAGCATCTCCTAACTCACCGTAAATATGAATAACTTGGCAAAGATAGTTTCCAAAAGTGAATCTATCTTAATTCCATCTAGAGGGAAGAAATCATTATGTTTCCGTCTAATAGTAGATGACTATTACTTGATTACATTAATAAGATACTCAAGATTATCTCTAACCTGTTATCGAAGTTAAACTGGATAGTTAGTATATCCAGAATAACAAAAAAGGTAGCCAGAAAACAAATATTTCCTGAACGAACAGAAGTAAGTGCTACATACATAATGACTGAGGCAGTCTGATAATTAGTTCAAGAGAGCACTAAATTCATAACTCTTGTCTATCCTCCCAAAATATTAACAGAATTAATGAAGAAAGAAAAACACATTTGAGGGATGGGTTATACTGAAATTCTAAATATAATAGACAAATTAGGATCTTTATTATAAACAACTAAAAACGCACCTTTTTGATCCATTAATCTTATTAAAGTAGCATCATCTATAGGACGGAAAGTTTGTCTTAATAAACCATCGAATTCACGTTCCAAGCTTCCTAAACCAATTGAATACAATGATGTCTAGGAGCCAAAAAAATTGAAGATACGTAGACATAAATAATTAAATGCAAAAGAAGATAAGTACAATAGAAAATAATCATCTGTACAGAAAACTGATTGGTAATATTTCATATCCCCTTACCAATCGACTAAATTCAACATCTTGTGGATTATTCTCTTGAAAATAAGCCAACGCATCCTTTATACGTTCCATAGCCTTTAAAAATTTGTCAGTAAAAACTGTCGGTCTACAAGTAGAAAGAAGAGAAAATCAGATTTTTTTCTGTTATGAATTATATATATATATATATATATATATATATATATATTGTATATATTGTAAAATTACCCTTGTCTAATAGTATTTTCCAACTCACGACCGGTGCGGTGATACTCTTGCACTTGACTTAACTTTAATCGACAGGCCTCTAAATCTGTATAACGTAAAAAAAATTTAAGAAACAAATTACTTAACATGTTATTTTACAGGTTGAAAAACCAAGAAGCTCAGTTACGCAGAAGCAACTTAGAATGTGACACTATTAATTAAGCAATACAAATCTACTATTTCTAACTCACTAAGGTGAATATTATTTTTTTAATTTATTCACTAAAACCTGATTCTCTTTCCTAAAACCTACATGTGAAAAAATATGGTATGAGGCCTCAGTAGCGGTTTAACAGTAAGACTAGCTTTTATTGAAATTTCTACTCAAACAAATCTATACTAAGGTTAGACAAAACATACGATGATGTTTGGTCAGAATTTCCGAAGAGAGATATCTTCTAGTGGGTGTATGAGAGCAAAGAAATATTTTACTCTACAGTTCGGTATTTACTACCTCAACCTGGAGATTATTGATACTTAAGGTTAACAAAAAGGAATTATATAGGGTAGTTCCGAATACGTGAAGACTCAGTAAATGAAGTATCTGTCTCCACTGAAAGCTGCATGTAATAGCTAGACATTTATTTAACTGGTAATTTTGGTCAACATTCATTTGTAGATGATAATAATAATATATAATAATAACTAATTGCAAGTGGAGAATAAAATTTGCGATGGAATACAAAACTAACTTCTTTGTAAAATCTGAAGTTGTTCCATATTTTTATTTAGCGGCTCCATACGCGTTTGATAAGATTGGACAGTTTGAATAATCTTTTTAAGCTTCTCACTAGATTGGCTAGAAAGGGTGTTGAATTGATCCTTTAAATTAGAAAGTTCCGCCACGTAGTTTCGTATCTAGAGATATAAAATGGGTAAATGCACAATGATGATGGTAAAAATAACAATCTTGTATGTATTGCAGTGTTGCAAGTCCGAACCTCCCTATAACTATTTGAATAGTCGGGTTTTGAATTGAACACGGTTGCTGAAGATATATTGTTCTATCATATTCTTTTTATTCTTAGTTCAACTGCTATCTATAAAGTCCTAAAATTTCAGTGGTGAATTAAATAGGTCAGAAGTAGATTCACTGATTGCCACGAAAAAGAGAACAAATTTAAATCCTTGCACACAGATTTTCATTGCAAACCAGCGACTAATTTAGACTCGTGACTTTTAAATTATTATTTTTTAATATTTGGCGGTTCAGAACGGTTACTGTTATATGTTATCATTAAATGTAACAGTGATAACTAAATCGGTATCTTAAATATTATGTAACGAGAAATCTGAATAACCAAACGGTTTTGTACAGCATCCAGTAAAATGGATGAGGGATGTTAAATGACAGATAAATACGTATTTTATTCAAATACGTATATATTACTTGGATTTTAGATAACAAAAAGTAGTGGGAAATAAACCACACTATCCTACACCTTGGTGAATCAATAAACCAGACTGTTAAATTAGGGTTAATTGTATATAGCCACAAAGTTTGCAAAATGAGGTGAGTTCGCCTTCCGTGCCAGTCGAATAAATTTATAGGAATGGACTCAAGCATATTTAATCAGCAAACACTTCCTACTACATATAAAGTTCTTAAAATACCACAGGCTAAGCGATGTGGTTTAGGTCAAAATGCATAGGAACGAACCAGGTCTAGCAAACTATATATTACTTACATTTGCTAATCTTATTTTAACTCCGCCTGTAGCTCTTTTAGAGTTACTGCCGGTCCCAATCCTGGATAAAGGAGGAGGGTTGGGCATGGGGTTAGCGAACCCATGCCGTAGAAAACTAACTCGATGAAAAAACGCTAACCAGAAAAAATAATTTGAACCATTTGAACTATGCCTTGGAAGTTAGAAGGTATTCATTTAGAAGAACTATGACGCCTCATGGTTAAAGCCCAGTTCCTTCGGAATCCACGAGGCCAATGCCCCTTCTAACAACCAGAGCAACAATTTTCATAGGTGCATGGAACGTCCAGACAATGTGAGGGACCCGGAAGACCAGTCAGACAGCAATGGAAACGAAGAGATACAACTTGGCAGTACTGAGAATCAGCGAAGTTCACTGGACCCAAGCTGGACAACAAAGGCTAAATACTGCTGCTGTACTCCGGTCACGAAGAGGAAAATGCTCCACACACTCAGGAAGTTGCTCTAATGCTGTCCAAAGTAGCACGAAATGCACTTGTAGGATGGGAATCTCACGGATCCAGAATCACCAAAGCATCATTCAAAACAAAGAAGGAGGGGATCACAATGAATATTATCCAGTGTTATGCACCCACCAATGATAGTAATGACGACGACAAAGCTCAATTCTACGATAGGTTGCAATCAATCATGGAGAAGTGCCCATGAAAGGACCTCACCATTCTGATGGGAGACCTAAACGCCAAAGTCGGAATGGACAACACTGGATATGAAGATATCATGGGACGACATGGACTGACTGAGAGAGAGAAACGAAAATGGGGAAAGATTTGCAAATCTATGTGCATTCAACAAATTGGTCATAGGAGGCATAATATTTCCACACAAACGTATACACAAAGCTACATGGATCTCACCGGACCACACCACAGAGAACCAGGCAGACCATATTTGCATCAAGAAAAAAGTTCGGAGGACATTGGAAGATGTGAGAACCAAGAGAGGAGCTGACACAGCTTCAGATCACCACCTAATTGTGGCCAATTTAAAACTGAAGCTAAAGAAGAACTGGAAAATTGGACGACCAGCAGTACAAAGGTTCAATACTGCCTTCCTTCGAGATACAAATAAAATTAACAAATTCAAGATAGCTCTCAAAAACAGGTTCCAAGCCTTACAGGATCTACTGAAGGAAGAAGAAACTACTATGGAGGACAAATGAGAAGGTATCAAAGAACCATTAACTTCAATATGTCAAGAGGTTCTGGGCCTCAAGAAGCATCATCATAAGGAGTGGATCTCTATAGAAACACTGGACAGGATCAAAGAAAGGAAGAACAAGAAGGCAGCAATTAACAACAGCCGAAAACGAGCACAGAAAGCCCAAGTACAAGCTGAGTACATAGATGCAAACAAGCAAGTGAAGAGCGTTAGAGCCGACAAGAAGAAATACGTGGAAGAACTAGCAACGACGGCAGAAAAAGCTGCTAGAGAAGGAAATATGAAACAGCTTCACGACACAACGAAGAAACTAGCAGGGAAATATAGTAAACCAGAGAGACTAGTCAAAGACAAAGGCAGGCCAATCACTGAAATTCAACAACAGCGGAATAGATGGGTAGAGTACTTCGAGGAACTCTTGGATAGGCCGGCTCCAATGAATCCACCGGACATCGAAGTAGCACACACAGAGATAGATATAGATGTCAATCCACCAACGACGGGAGAAATCAGAATTGCCATCAGACAAATCAAGAGCGGGAAAGCAGCGGGATCCGACAATATACCAGCTGAAGCACTGAAGTCAGACATTGAAGTAACCATAGACATGCTTCACTTATTCAAAAAGATTTGGGAGGAGGAACAAGTGCCGATGGACTGGAAAGGACACCTCATCAGTATCCCACAGAAAGATCTGAGCAAATGCGAAAACTACAGAGGCATTACACTAATGTCAGTATCAGGGAAATTCTTTAACGGAGTATTGCTGAACCGGATGAAAGACGCAGTAGACGCCCAACTTCCAGATAAACAGGTTGGATTCCGTAAGGATTTGTTGTGCGCAGACCAAAATGCGACACTACTGATAATCGCGAACAATCAGTTGAGTGGAACTCGTCACTATACATCAACTTCATTGATTATGAAAAGGCGCTTGGCAGTGTAGATAGAACATTATGGAAAATTCTTCGACACCACGGAGTTCCTAAGATTGTGAACATTATCCGGAATTTATGCGACGGACTACAATGCAAAGTCGTGCATAGAGGACAGCTGACATACGTATTTCAGGTAAGAACCGCAGTCGGACAAGGCTGTATATTCTCTCCCTTCCTCTTTTTTTCTGGTGGTCGACTGGATTATGAAGACCTCGACATCTGAGGGAAAACACGGAATACAATGGACAGCTCAGAACCAATTATACGATTTGGACTTTGCAGGTGACCCAGCCCTCCTATCGCATACACATGAACAAATGCAGATAAAGACAGCCAATGTAGCAGCAGTTTCTGCATCAGTAGGCCTCAACATACACAAGGGGAGAATCAGGGTCTTCAAATACAACACGGAAAACAACAATCCAATCACACTTGATGACGAAACTCTGGAAGATGTAGAACCCCTCACGTACCTGGGAAGCATCATCGATGAACAAGGAGGTTCAAATGCAGATGTAAAGGCGAGGATTGACAAAGCAATGGTCGCATTCCTACAATTGAAGAACATATGGAACTCAAAACAACTGTCAACCAACACCAAAGTCACAATCTTCAATACGAACGTCAAGACAGTTCTACTGTATGGAGCTGAAACTTGGAGAACTACAACAACCACCACCAAGAAGGTACAAGTATTTATAAATGGTTGTCTACGCAAGATACTCAACATCCATTGGCCGGATACCATCAGCAACAGCCTTCTCTGGGAGAGAACAAACCAGTTTCCAGATGACGAAGAAATTAGGAAAAGACGATGGAAATGGATAGGACATACATCAAACTGTATCACGAGGCAAGACCTAACTTGTTATCCTGAAGGGAAGCGGAAAATAGGAAAGCCACAGAACACATAATATCGGGAATTAGAAGCAGATATGAAAAGGGTGAATAACAACTGGAAGGAGCTGAACAGGATTGCCCAGGACAGGGTTGGATGGAGAATACTGGTGAGCGGCGTATTGTCCTTTACGAGGAGTAACAGGCGTAAGTAAGTAACCTTATTTTAGTGCCTTTTTATTAATTTGCAAACGATATGTCAATTCTTTATGGTGATTGAACTTAGATGCGACAGAGAATTTATTTCAGGAGTTAATTTCTAACATAACCCAACTACTAATAACTTTAGCAACCAAGTATCTGTGTATGTACTTCCCTCAAGGAAACAATTTATTTTCCGTAAACTATGGGTTGCTGGAAGTAAGTTGTTTCATTTATAAGTGATTTGTGTTATCATCATATGAAATTGTTCATAGTTTAAATATCGATCCAGAAGTAACACTTTAATTTTATTCAAGAATCAAATGACTAATTTTATTTACCTGAGTTGACGACATTATTTTTCAGTATACAGCAGATCAGGAACAGACTCTGTGACACATAAGTAGCCTAGTTTTGTGTGAATCGACACCTAAACTAACAGAGTAATGTTGTGGAACAATGTTAGTATCGTATATCAAAAAACTCGCAATCGGGGCAACGCTCCTAGGGTATCGTCCACTGATGGGGGTTGCGAGCACTTGAAGGTCAAACTGTCGCAAAATGATTGGTGCGTCTCATCGACAATTCGTGAAAATTTTCAGAAGCGGTCAAATCAAGACATTTTTGGATTTGAATTGATTTCAGCTACACTATGTCTGATAACGTTCATTCTTCTAGTAACGAAGACGACTCCATCGTGATGATGCATGATATAGGCCGAATCTTCAATGATATTATATTATCTCGAAGATTTACAAGTTGGGACAATTTTGAGACCTGTTTGAAAGAAGTACATAAGGTAATATGACCTCTGGGGTTAATAATTATTTTTTTAGTATACGCATACTAAGTACGTTATGTCAGTATGCAAAAAGAACAGTGATGATCCAACTCTAAAGTACTTTTTCGTGAGATATGTCTGTACATATGGACGTAAACGCAGTTCGTCAGAGTCAGATGCTTGCGTTCAGGATGTAGATGATGATAGTAATAATCATTCTTCTGAAGAGCATACAACTTCTAACTCGCCAACACAACCTAAGCAAAGGAGACGACGTCGGTCATCTACGTATGCCTTACTTCAAATGAATTTATCCTTCAGGTCGAAATATTGCCACTGTCAATCAGGATTTTGGGTCCGGGCAGTGAATGGTGAGTTGAAACTCACCTCTATTAAAACCGTGCACAACCATCCTTGCACAGAAGGATATATTTCTGTCGATCCATCGAAACGACAGTTGACCTCAAGTGAACGCTTGTATTTAAGAACGTTTCTACTGAGTAATACACCAACTCGTAGCTTACGGTATCTGGTTTCTTTGAAGTTCAATAAACAGCTTACCAAGGACGATATCGCCAGAATGCGTTCACAGTTGTACCCAGGTTGTTGAACTCACATTGTAATTAATTGAGTTTAGACACTAAAAATATCAATGACATCTTACAGCGTGTTCAAGCGAACACTGAAGTAAAAGTATTCAATGAAAATGGGAATATATCTATGATTTGCTTCGGCGTCAAGGAGAAAATAGCTGTTTACCACGCTTTCTCGGAGGCAATATGCATTGATTCGACTTATCAGACCAACAAAGTTGGGTAAGTAACGATTAGTAATAAATTTATCTCGAAGTTTTCCACTGTTCCAGCTAGTGGTGATTGATAGTCTTGGGCAAGAGCACACTGTTATGTATGCTCTTTTCAGGCAAGAACGACGCTAAAATGTCGTAAAACTATTGCAATGCTTTAAAGACATAATGTGTGTTAGTGTGTGTTCCTTTGCCTCTATAAGCTTTGTAGACTTATCTCGATATAGCAACTGGTGGACACGGAAATACATAATGGACTTGGTTCTTCGTGCGCTGGACAACATGTCAATCTCTACAGAAAGTGGTGATTTGCTAGAGAAGTTCACTAACAACTACCACTCAATCCATGCTCTTAGTGAACATTTGGCCAGTAAACTCATCCGTTCATGCCTCGAAGCATCGAAAGACATATGCGCACAACTGATGAGTTCAATCGCTGCTAATGATGAAGCTACAACGTCAGAATCCATTGTTCATACAGACCATAGCTATGCTTCTTGATAACAAGAAGTTCTAATATTGTAATCTTTTTAGTTTTACATAAATTCATTTATATGGCCATTGACTTATTCTTATAGCGTAACGGCAGGGAGTGTACTGTGCAGTCTTATGTGGCTGTGAGACAGGGATGTTGTTTCGCGTTCTTGTATAATAATTACAAGTTTGGCGCACACGCGATTAGTCATACAGACCGTTTACCAAATTCTGCAACCTTGAACGTGGTGTATCATAATAGTAGCCCGAATTTCGACCTGTCACGATAGATAAGAATTGCCGTAATTAAAGGACTGGTGCGTTATAAATGGAAACGTTTATTAAAGTTTGAATCTAGCACAAATGATCCATTAATGAATAACTTCTATTTCTCAGGGATTGTTCCCGTTAGCTCTGTGAACGCTTGCGAAGCTAGCTGGAAATAAGATAGACAGGAAAGTTATTTCAGTATAAATGTTTACCAGAAACTAGTATAAAAACGGAAACTAGTATTCAATTACAGATCGAAAGTGCATTTAACACACCCTTCCTTTGGACAGTCAATCACGCTTATTTCCTTTATCTCTTGCGTTGTTTAGGAAAGTCTGGGTCACAACATACACGGATTGTATTATTTAATTCTTTGGACAGGTTGCACTTCGGAAACTTACACGATGAACATATTTAAAGACTGCTGTGTGGATTTACTTTGAATCGTCCTGTGTAACATGCAATTCTTGATGCATATTCTATTCTAGTCCCATGTAAGTTATGAGTAATTGTCATTTACGGCATCAGCACGTAAGCTAGACAGGCCATGGTTGATTTCCGAAGATCACATAGAATCTCACACAATCTGGTCACCTTAGATCAAGATATCTTGACTATCGAATCGAACTTTTCAGTGCTTTCTCGTGACAGCTTTATACCAGTACTTACTTCTGCTATTAGGTATTTTTGCAATAATACCGGCAGCCAAAACATTGTAGCTCCCCAGACAACCCATAAAGGGGTAAATGCTTTGGTGGTGAAAGGGGAAAACGCATCAGAATGTCGCCTTTTTCGCCTGTCCGGGGGAAATAATGTGGATTTCCCCCTTTTTCGCCGTTTTGTCGACAAATCACTCACTTTTCTTCTAAATATCCGCAGAATTGTCGAATTTTCGCCTAAATATCCGCCAAATAACCGAATTTTCGCCTAAATATTTTCGCCTAAATATCCGCCAAATAACCGAATTTTCGCCTAAATATCCGCAGAATTGTCGAATTTTCGCCTAAATGTCCGCTGAATAATCTACTTTTCGCCTAAATACACACAGAACTCCCTATTTTCCATCCATTGACATAACCCCAAAGGTCTCCTATGTTCACCTTTATTTTCAACAACAGACCAAAACAAATCTGCAATGCAGTGGAAAAGCGGCATGTTTTTGAAAAATTTTATTTAAAAGGTAAAGCGTATTATTGTACAACACTAGAGCAGAAGCTTAAGCATCGATTGTTTTGCATATCCAATGCAATTGCTAATTCATTGTTATTTGAAATTATCTGCAAAAGAAGAAACACGTGATGTATTATTTATAAGGAATGTGAATTTATTCAAAAGTTCACTGACACTCAAACACACATTCTCAACACTTCTACAGTTTCCCATGTAAGTGAAAAAGTAAGCTGTTTGAAAAATATTTATTGAAATGTAGGTAGAACATCAAAACAATTGCACGGCTATTGAGAATTGAGGTAGTCGTCCCGTGAATTCAGAATTTATAAGAAGAAAAAAGTCACAACCATATCTCAATGACATGCTTTGGTACAGCCAAATACTTGTGTAGATCTATACAAGAGGTAGTAATGCTATCTTAGCTTCGTCTTTGGTAGAATCCCCACATAATTATACCTCTACCGCATGATTATGATTTATTTCCTGCAATACAATCATCTGGTGGCTAATAAATCTAACTGTAGGAGGTGATATTAACATCTTAAGATATGTGTTATTATCATCTATAGCATATACATAATATTTACAACACTCAGGACACCTTATGTTTTCACTTGAACCTATTTCTGCCATAAAAGTCGAACAAAACAGTGAAAATCAGCAGAAATTGTGATAAAGATAGGAAAAACGATAAATCTTACCATGGTATCGTTAGTTGTAACGCAGTTTTGGTAGCCTTGACGACAATACAATTTTTATGACGATATATGCCTAAATCTTTCTATTTCATATAAAAATAAAAGAATTGTCTACCATCAGTGTACACCTAAGTAGAAATAATTGCTAATCTGCGATGCAAACACCGAAAAATTATTATAGCAGCACCTGAATAATGAATTTTCAAGGACTTCGCGATACCATGTAACGCAAAATGGAAAAACCCTTTTTACCTAATTATGAAAACGGAAAATAGACTTTCAAATGTATTCATAATTAATTTCGAAATTTGGTTGTGCGAAAAGCAGAAATGAAAAAGTAGCGCAAAAAAGTGTCGCGATACACCTGGAGCGCTGCCCGCAATCGGCGACCTTGAGAATAAATTTCCCTCCAAAGAAGTTAACGGACACAATGTGTTATAAGTGGACAAAATTGTGTTCTTATTAACCCATGCTAAACTAAAAATACTCCATCGTAAGTAGTATCTTCTTGTCTACATACTTATGACTCAAACGGATGCCGAAAATGCAACTATTTGAACGTCAGTTGGTAAAGGATAATGTACACAATATTCACTTGTAGGGAAAGGAGTTCTATCGACCCGTATTAACCCTTGCAGTTTGTCCAACCTCGCTCTGAATGCATCATAGGTGCTGATACTACGTGTCTTGGAAGAGAATTCCAGTACATCACTACTCGTTGTTAGAAACTTAACTCCAGACAAAAGAGTTTATCTCGGTTTTTGAATTTTATTGGAATATCCTCTCAAATAATCAGTCCTACGTAAAAGGGTAAGATATAACATGTTTACATCGGGATCATTGTTCCGATAAGTCAATATTCGACAACCCAGTAAAATAACGGAAATAGTTTGATGAATTGCAGTCTGTCTTCATAAGATATGCTAGAGAGACATTTTACCATTTCGATCTTTTGCCATCGAACTCGTTCTAGCATATCCGTCTCACACTTGAAACAAGGACTTGTTGCTCGAATCCCAAATTCCAAATACTGACCTACAAAAGTCGAGTTTAGTAACCTAACCACATCCTCATCCGAGAACTGAAATGACCTACGAATAGCCCATAAGACCCTGAGGCCTTTGGTAGTGGCAGCCTTGCAGTTACCCATAGTTCAGA